ATACCTCCACCTCGCTCACTTACAACGCCGCACTTCTCACCCAAAACTCCCCAACTTTCACCAGTGACCGTAGCATCCCGCCATATATGCCATTCCAGGTCCCCATGGTCTCTCGCCGTAGCTACATGCCTCCCATTCGAGTGGCTCAAAACCCCTCTATCCCTTCCATTACTTCTACGCGGCAGATGAGGCCAAAAGACTATCGGAGGCTTACTCGGAGAAAAATCAGAGGAAGCATAACCTCGTTTGTTATGAGGATGGCTCAATCTTGGCTTATCTCCCACCAACTCTCAACCCTGCCAAAACTCTTGAGGAGAACCTTAGCCTTGGCTCTCCTCCTCATGTCCAACTTCAGTTATCTCAGAATGCAGCAAGAGTTGACTTAATCGCTCTTACTCAAACACAAAGGGCGGAAGATCTTCAATCCGGAGAAGTTGAACAGTCTCTCACCTCTTAGCACCAAAATGCACCACCTATTATTCAGCTCCCCCCTTCACCGCCCACCTCGCCTAAAAAACCATTCTCACCATCCCAAACATCTCAACTAGAACTAACAATCCATAACCCCCCCTCCCCGATCCTTCCCTCGAGCCCTTTCCTCGAGCCCATTCAAGAAAATGGAAAGGAAAGTGATGGTTCAGCGCCGTCGTAATTACATCTCTTCGACCTCTAATGGCAAAGGGGCGAGATCTACTAAACGAAAACTCTTGGTTGAAGATAAGTTCTTAGAGACTATTCCAGTGGAGGTGATTACCAAAAAGTCCAGGGTTGAGCTTCTGTCCGACGAAGATCCGACTCTAATGCACACTACATCAACGGCAGGGAGTGGCAACACTAGCCACCCCGGCCGACAGCCATTAGTATCTTAAACTGGAACTGCCGAGGGCTTGGGAACCCCCGGACAGTGAGAGAGTTGCGGAGAATGATCCGTGAAAAGTCACCCCTTTTAGTTTTTCTTTCCGAAACAAAATGTAACTCTTCAGTTATAGATACTTTTAAAGTTTCTGCTGGTTATTTTGGTGTTTCTATTAAGTCCATTGGTAACTCGGGGGGTCGAGCCTTTTTATGGAGGAAGGACCTCCAGGTGCACGTTAAAGCTTTTTCTCGTCGTTACTTTGATGGGAAGCAGTATTTATGGGTGTGAATGTTCGTGTTACTGGTTATTATGGTCAGCCTGATACCTCACTTCGTCGTTCAGCTTGGGAAAATTTCGCAACCTACTTAGGTCAATCGCCCCTTCCATGGATCTGTTTTGGGGACTTCAACGAAGTTATCACCCATTCAGAATATTAGAGTAATCGACGTCGTCCGGAATGGCAGCTTGAGGCGTTTCGGCGAGCATTGGATCGTTGTGGCCTCTCCGATCTCGGGTATAAGGGCGACTGTTACACATGGTTGTCGGACGGCGGTGGCTCCATTTACGCAAAGGGCCCGGCTGGATCGAGCACTTTGCAATCAAGCCTGGCGACAATGCTTCCTTTGGAATAGTGTGTGTCATATACCAACACATGTTTCCGATCATCAAGCTCTGCACATTCAATTCCAGAAAAGTTTATCGGGACTAAACCGGGGAAGAAAGTCGAAGCCGTTTCGCTTCGAGGCCTGCTGGATCAAATCATCTGAATGCGAGAGGATCATCCGAGAGAGCTGGGATGCGGAGCCTGAAACAGTGTTGGGGAAGCTAAAATCATGCGAGATAGGGCTGCTCAACTGGAGCAAGAATACTATCGGAAATATCCCAAAAAAGATCAAAGCTACCAAGAAAGAGCTTCATCAACTAAAAGAGGGAACAATAACGGAGACCACAAAAGTCAGAATAACGGAGCTCACGGAGAAGCTTGATGACTTGCTGGATCAAGAGGACACTAAGTGGAAGCAGCAAGCCAAACAACACTGGTTGAGGGAAGGGGACAGAAACACGAGCTTCTTTCATGCGCATGCATCGAAGCGCAAAAAGACTAATCATATTTCTAAGCTCCAGGATGACATAGGAACCTTACAAAGCTCCCCAGATGCAATCGAGAGGATCATCATGGAATATTTCATGGAAATTTTTACAGCATCCTCTCCATGTGAATCGGATCTCCGTCAGGCCCTTAGCCGGATACGTCCCAAAGTCAACGCAGAAATGAATCAACGACTCTCGCGATCCTTTACCGCTGCAGAGGTAAAATGTGCAGTTAAATCCATGCATCCTTTTAAATCACCTGGTCCGAATGGGCTCAGCCCGGTTTTTTACCAAAAATTTTGGCATATAGTTGGTAGTGATATTTCAGAGTTTGTTTTACAATTTTTAAATAATGGGTCGTTTGTAAACCACACAAACTACACACACATAGTCCTCATCCCAAAAGTCGAGAACCCAGAAAAAATGACACAGTTTCGCCCTATTAGCTTGTGTAATGTGGTCTATAAGATTGCCTCTAAATGCCTTGCAAATAGACTTCGTAATATTTTACCTAGTGTTATTTCGGATTCTCAATCTGCTTTTATTCCTGGGCGCTTGATTATTGACAATGTTTTAGTTGCTTATAAGACTCATCATTTCATGAAAGGAAGACCATAGGGAAGAAAGGGCTGATGTCAGTCAAGCTAGATATGAGCAAAGCGTTTGATCGAGTGGAATGGCGCTTTGTTGGGGATGTAATGAAGGCTCTCGGTTTTCTGGATATTTTGTGGAGAAAATTAAAAAGTGTATAATGACCCCAACATTTTCTTTTTTGCTAAATGGTTGTCAGTTTGGTTCAGTCAATCCGGAGAGAGGATTACGGCAAGGAGATCCCCTATCCCCTTACCTTGTTATTATTTGCTCGGAGGTCTTCTCTCTTATCTTGCAGGACCTACAAGCTGCAGGACGTCTGCATGGGGTGGGCGTTGCTGATTCGGCTCCATCCATCTCGCACCTCTTTTTTGCAGATGATACTCTCTTATTTGGAGAAGCCACGCAAGCCGAGGCACGAAGTCTAAAGTTTGCCATTTCACTCTACGAACCCGTGTCAGGGCAACGGATTAACTACGATAAATCTGGCATATATTTCAGCCCCAACACAAAACAATCGGAAGTAGCTGCAATCTGTTTGGAGCTCGAAATACCTCAGGTTGATGGACACTGCAAATACTTAGGCCTCCCAACATTCATTGGACGGAACAAGCGAGATGTTTTCGGTGAACTGAAAGATAGAGTTTGGAGGAAAATACAAGGATGGAAGGAGAAGAACCTCACCAAGGCGGGCAAAGAGGTTCTTATTAAATCTGTCATTCAATCAATCCCGACTCATTCCATGTCATGTTTCAGGATCCCGAATAATATATTGGAGGAGATCGAGAGCATGGTGGCAAACTACTAGTGGGGAGAAAAGGAAGGATCGCATAAATTGCATTGGTTGTCATGGGATAAATTAGCTCCGAGCAAAGATCATGGAGGCCTAGGATTTAGAAATCTGTATGCTTTTAATTTGGCAATACTAGCTAAACAAGCCTGGAGATTGATAACAAACCCAGGTTCACTCCTATCCAGGGTTTTCAAGGCCAAATATTATAGGGATTCGAGTTTCTTTGAGGCTGAACTTAGCACCAATCCATCATGGTCTTGGCGGAGTATTTTGGAGAGTAGAAAGGTGCTACAATTGGGGAGCTACAAGTCGATTAGATCAGGGTGCCAAACCCGCATTTGGTTAGACCCTTGGCTCCCAGGAAACACGAACTTTATGATTTACAGCCCCTGCACCTTTCTTGACCCAACGGCTTGTGTTGCAGAGTTGATAGACGGAATCTCTGGAACATGGAACTATCACCTAGTTCGGTCTATCTTCTCCCAGGAGGAGGCGGGCCGAATCATAGAACTTATCCCGGGTCAGTAAAATCAGGCGGATGTTTGGAGTTGGTCTCACGCAAAGAACAGGAAATATTTGGTCCGTTCGGCGTACCATGCAATTCTGACAGCGGATTTCTCACCGATCTTAGTTGCGCCACTAATTCATCAGACAGGAACACCGCAACTCTGGAAACATCTTTGGTGCCTGAACGTGCAACCTCGGCTACGCCATTTCCTGCGGACTGCTTGCAATGGCACTTTACCCTCGCCGGAAAACCTCGCCCGAAGACACGTCCCTCAGTTAGATGTTTGTATAAATTGTGGTGCTCAGGATATTTCGATGAAACATTTGTTCTTTACCTGCAATTTTGCGTCTGAGGTTTGGAGACTTGCAGGCTTGAACATGCAAATAGACAACTTGGAAAAAGACGATGGAGGGGAATGGATTCGATCGATGATCCTTGAGTTAGATGCCAAGAATGCTGAACTTGCTGCTACCATCCTCAACTGCATCTGGTTCCAGCGCAATAAGGCTGTTCACGATCTTGAAGAGCTTAGTCCCACGGCTACGGCTCTGATTGTTGAAAGCATGCGGCGTTCCTTCCTTCAAGCCCACAGGTGGCCGGAACGTATGTCTTCTCAGCTACAATCGAATGCAATCTTTGGCTGTCCAGCATCGGGACCGCGACTCTGGTTTGATGGAGCCATCTCCCGCCTGTTTCGTTGTGCTGGTGTGGGAGTTTGGTATGAGGATGCTCAGGGCTCTTTCGTAGACGGTAGGCAAAGAAGTTTCAGGGGATAATAGACCCTGAAGTTTCAGAAATGCTTGCATTAAGGGAAGCTCTCCTACTTGCAGCAAAGTACAATCTAGCAAATTTCGCAGTTATGGGAGACGCCATCAATGTCATCTTATCCGCGCAGGAGGTAGTCGTAGCCCCGGAGAACTTTGATCCAGTCATAGAATCTGTTCGTCAGTTAATCAACACTACTCAACCTTTGGGTAATTTTTGGTCGCAAAGATGTAATAATAAGATAGCACATGAACTTGCGGCTTTAGCAAAGAGCAGTGACTCTGATTGTATCATTTGGTCGCATGTCCTGACGACCATCAATCAATCGCAGTTGGACGATTTCCAACATCTATGAAAGAATTAGAATCCCTTATCTATTCCTACCTAATGTTGCAATGGACAGTATAAATACCCGTTACCATTTACCAGTGTGGTAGCCAATTGATCATTCCCTTAGCATTCCCATTCTAATTAAGTTCATAGAGATCTCAAAAATTTGCACAATGAAAATTTTCATTTTCGCTTTTTCCATTCTTCAAATAGGCATATTCAGTTCCCTTCCCTTTTCTGCATCTGCAGATCCCACATTTGACAATTTCTCCAATTGCCTGACAAAAAATGGAGTCCAAAGTAACGAGATTCCCAAAATTCTCTACAATCCAACAAACCCTTCATTTACTTCTGTTCTAAATGCATATGTTAGGAACCTACGATTCAACACATCAACTACCAAGAAGCCATCCATAATTGTCACACCGTTTCAAGTTCAACAAGTCCAGGCCACCGTTATTTGCACTAAATCGTCAGGGCTGCAGCTGAAAACCCGAAGCGGCGGCCACGATTACGAAGGCATTTCATATGTTTCCGCCAACCCTTTTGTAATCCTTGACATGTTTAATCTCAGGAGCGTCGCCGTCGATATTCCGAGTAAAACTGCTGTGGTACAGACAGGGGCAACGCTTGGTGAAGTGTACTATGGAATTTGGAAACAGAGCAATGTTTTCGGGTACCCTGCTGGTGTTTGCCCGACGGTAGGCGTTGGTGGACACATCAGCGGAGGCGGTTATGGTCCGATGATTCGTAAATTCGGCCTTACGGTGGACAACGTTGTAGATGCACAGATTATTAATGTTGATGGGAAGGTTTTGGACCGGAAAGGGATGGGAGAAGATCTGTTTTGGGCAATCAGGGGCGGTGGCGGTGGGAGTTTCGGAGTTCTTCTGTCTTACAAGATCAATTTAGTTCCGGTTCCTCCGGCGGTCACTGTTTTTAACATCATGAGGACTGAGGCACAGAATGCGACTAATATTCTTGTGAAATGGCAAAACGTTGCTGCCACCATTGACAATAATCTCTTCATCAGGATCCTTGTCCAGCCAATTACTGAAAACAACAAGAAAATGATCCGATTGACATTCATCGGATTGTATCTGGAAAATTCAAACAGTCTTCAGGCTCTGATGAAATCCCAATTTCCCGAATTGGGATTGCTGCCTAGTGATTGTAAGCAAATGAGTTGGATCCAAGCGATGCTGTTCTGGGCAAATTTCAAAAAGAGTTCACCGAAACCAGAAGCTCTGTTGAGCAGAACTCCTGATTCTGTCAGTTTCTTGAAGAGGAAATCGGATTATGTGCTGAAGCCAATCCCAAGTGCTGGATTAACTGCAATCTTCAACAAAATGGTTCAGCTTGGAGATGTAGGACTGGTCTTCAATCCTTACGGCGGAAAAATGAGCCAAATCCCGGAGAGCGAGACGCCGTTCCCTCATCGGGCAGGGGTTCTTTACAAGATTCAGTACTCTTCGAATTGGGGAACTCCTGATCCCAAATTGGCAGCTCAAAATCTTCAGGAAGCAAGAGATCTGTATACCTTCATGACTCCATATGTATCAAGCAATCCCAGACAGGCTTTTCTGAATTACAGGGATCTTGATATTGGCACCACTGATAATGGACCCAACAGTTACAATGAAGGCAAAGTTTATGGGATGAAGTACTTCAAGGGAAACTTTGATAGGTTGGTGAAAGTGAAAACTGCTGTTGATCCTCAAAATTTCTTCAGGAATGAACAGAGTATCCCAAAACTTCCTTCTAAATAAAGTTCTGTTCGGCCAGAATAATTCTATTCGTTGTACCACTGTATCATTTATACTTTGTTATGATTTACGAAAAAAGTAACGATACATGTAATGGAAATTACTAAAGAAAATTTTTAGGAATGATGTCGACGGTTTTACCATTTATCGCTATATTAAATTAGAGTAACGATAGAAAGTTATTTAGTGTTTCTTAGACATTAATCTCATCATTATATAGATATCTGATCCTTTTACCTGATGTTACATCAATACATTTGATCCTAAGAGTGACCACTAGTGCGAGGTATAGTAGAACTGTACAACAGATGTCGGATTTATAGCATCGTTGTCCCAGATAGAAGTTAAACTCGAATCATACTTTGATAGTTAGTTTGATTGTCGCACTTTTAATCGTAAAGTTGAGTGTTCGATTTTTATCAAGGACGCGGGACACAGGTAACTGCAGGAGGAAGTAACTGACAAAGTCCAACAATCTGGTCAAGTAGGCAGGTGGCTTGAGAAGAAAATTAGTATTTATTTAGAAAAAATAAAAATAAAGAATGAATGAAGGACTACATTTTTATTTTCTCAATAAATAAAATACATTAGATGCCTCTTTATAGGCTTAGTTTATAAATATATTAATCATACAAACTAATTGATTAATTTTTATTTAAGTGATAAATATAAATAGTTGATCACTAGAAGTCACCAACTAGATTGAAACTAATCTAATACTTCTATCTCTTCTACTTTATCTTTTAACATTCCCCCGCAAACTGAGCCGCAACTGAATCACTGAGGGCTAAAGGTGCAGTTTTTTATAGAATGGAACCCACTGGATGTATTGCTTGAAACTTGATTATGTGCTTGTTGTGACTGTCTCATATTATTGATATCTGGATCCAGACATGTGAAAGCTGCAATTAAAAAAAAATAAAATTGTATTGTGGTAGATTGCCAATGTTATACAATCTTATTTTGAAAATGTAAATGTGATCTTCAATGACCTTGTTGTCCTTTTTGTGGAGATGTGTGAGTTTTCTTAATAATTCTCGAAAAAATATGTGTACTTCATTTTTGAGTACTTTCCGGAGAAATATGTGTGTAAAAAACAATGACAAGTCTAAGGAATTTTCTCGAATTTTTGTTATAATTGAAATTTTTTGAATAGATCCAGATGAGACTTTTTTTCTTTTTTTTTGGTGGTGATGAATGAAATTTAAGGATGAACCAATAGTTGAGTTATGAGTTGATCGATATGTCTTTGGCTCTGTGCGACAATCTCTCCGTAATAAATAATTGGTGAGAGAGAGTTTTAGAACGATAAAATTTTAAATATCTATGAATAGAGTCATAATTGATACACAGATGTGCAGAAGTAAAAAAAAAAAAAAATTCAGACGCAGGATAGAACTTGCTCTGATACCAAGAAAATAATTGGTATTTATTTAGAAAAAATAAAAACAGAGAATGAAATTATGAGGTGAAAGACTACATTTATATTTCCTCAATAAATAAAATGCATTAGATATCTTTTTATACGCTTAATTTACAAATATGATAATTATGCAAACTAATTAATTAATTTTTATTTAAGTGATAAATATAAATAATTGATTAGACATAACAAACTAGATTGAAACTAATATAAAACTTCTATCTCTTATTTACTTTATCTTTTAACAGCTTGCACCTCAAGACCACGAAGTCCCTAGATATCCTCTGTACAACAATGAGTACTAAAAATATATCAAGCAAGAAACTTATAGAATGCAAATCTCGCGCACATGTTTGCTCCTCCGTCCGTCTATAATTTAAATTTCTGGCCTACTTTTCACATAACTAGTATGTGAAGCGCGGGTTTGTCAATGTTGAAAATTTATCTTCCAAAAGAATTAATTAGATAATGTAGTTATTAATATTTCTTAAATCCGTAAAATTTTTTTGATTAATCAATTTTAGATCAAAAAGAGAGGTATTGATATTATTTATGAGACGTATATTTGTAAGATCTGGCAAAAAATATTACAACAAAAATTTTGAAAACTTGTATAATAAAAATTATCACCACTAACTAATGTTATGTTTGGATTAAAAAATATATTAAAAAATACGTAAATTATGTCTAGACGCCTATGGCTTATTTATAAGCAAGGAGACTTTGGGGATTAGACACAATTAATCGTTCTTGAAAATGTAAAATCGATAAAATTGAAGACAAAGTAGCAAATAAATAGAACTTTAAGGACCAAAATGATAATAAGTTAAAAGTGATGCTTGATGGTCTCAATTAACGACACGTGTCGATTATCTTTCTTTCCTTTAATATATATAACTAGATGCTTGGCCCGGGCGGATGCCCGGCTGATCTCTTATAAATAATATTGTTAATAATTTATAATTATAATAATAATGATAGTAATAAAAATAACGATAATATATAGATTTGGGTTAGAAAGAAGTAAATGAAAATCAGATGGAAGAATTGTCAATAATAGAATGCTGTGGGTATAAAATAAATATGGCAAAGTCCGGGGATCACTTGCGTAAAATGGTGTTCTGTTTAAATATAAACAAAAGAAAAAATCTGAGAAAGGCATAACTCCATTCTTGTTCATATCGAACAGATCTAGAAAGTGTACATTTCCTTTTCAGACTGTTCATTCTTCCCATCAGATCTAATTAATGTAAAGGCTTTCCAATTCTTTCCATATGTTCATTGTTACCATTGTGTACATTTCTTCAGCTGTTCATCTATATTCATATGTTTTCGAGGAAATCGAAACATTCATTTTGGCCATAGAAGAATCAGATTGATTGAATAATCAACATCATCGAAGGGATTGAAAGCTATTGATGGGTTCGCATTTAAAGATATTCTTGATAACAGATGCAAAAACATCTGTTGCCGTGCATCTTCTATGGTGGGATATAAATCGGTTCGTCATATATAGGAGTGTTCAATCAAAGATTGTGAACTGTATTCATGCAAGATTCTAGGTCGGAAATCCCATTTCAATCTGTGCGGAAAAAGAATCACTTCGATTATTCTACGGAGGTAATATTATTGATATTTTGAAATAGTATGCTATTTATTTTCATTGACAGTAATGTATTTTAATTATTTATTTCATTACAAATCTATGTTTGAACATGTGAATGGTGTGTGCAGAATATCTTCGATGAAATACTCAGACAATGTTCAGTAATAAAGCTGCAGTTTAACATGCAAGATGATATTTGGGCAATATGTTTTTGGATGAGGTAATTATAAACTTGTTTAACTTTTTGTTCTGATATAATTCAATTAACATGTACTGTGTTAAAGCACATATGTTTTTCTAATTCAACTGATATTATTTTTTGTTTTTAACAGTTAATTGAATATTTGTATGTATTTGTTTGTATGGTGTGCATAATAATTTGTTATCATGTGTGTGGTTAGAATGTGTTTTTTTGAAAAAATGATAATGATTTCAGAATGAGAAATAGCTGACAGATGTAATCATTTCCTTAAAGCTAATATGAAGTTACCCATATTGCTGAAATCTTCCTGCATAAACTCCCTTTCTTGAAAGAAAACTCGTGGTCGAGTTATACTTTGGGTTTTTCACTGTCAAAACCCATTGCAGTTAAGTACTGGGATTCCTTCTTTCTTATCCTCCACAAAACATAAAAAACTGGATGTATTTGAAACCTCTTGTACCAATAAAGTATCTTCACTTTGAATAGAGATGCAGGTTTTAGTGTAAAAACAGGTCAATTGGTTTGATAGCAAGCACAAATAAAAAAAAAGAACTGTAACATTTTACTGTTATAAAATAGAAATTTAAAAAAACAACTAATTTCACCTAACGTTACGGAGAGCTTCCTTGTAGACGACATTCATAGTTTTATTTGATCTTGTACCTTCACTGTCACAAATCAGCACTTTCATTCCTTGTTTAGAAGTTACCCTTGACAGAGCCACGTATAACTGGCCGTGGCTGAAAACTGGTCGTGGTAGGTAAAGTCCAACTGTAGAAAGAGACTGACCTTGACTTTTGTTAATGGTCATAGCAAAACATATTGCTATAGGAAACTTCCTCCTCTTCATTTTGAAAGGAATGTTCCTGTCAGATGAAATTATTTTCATCCTGGGAATAGGCACAACATGACCTATATTGCTTCCTGATATAATTCTCCCCTCTATCACGTAACATCCCATATGTGTAACCTGTAGTCTAGTACCATTGCACATTCCTAACCTTTGATCAATGTTACGGAGTAGAATGATTGGAACATTACGTTTCAGTACCAATCTATGATTGGGAAGACCTGAAACCTTTACACTGTTGAGAAATTCGGGAGTGTATATACCCTGATTTGATTCACCTCCATGCTCATAATTACACATACTGTCTGAACTGAGGTATTCACGTTCTTCGCCAGGTAATAAACCTGTCATGTAATCGTTGACCTTATCAATAACTTCATGTGTTGGTCCTAAAATAGCTCTTTCCTGGAACCAGATAGGGTTTTCAAGGTTATTTAATAAGTTTGGATATATAGTCTTAACAATAATTTTGATAGGATCTCCTGGTTCCTGTATAATGACATCATCTACGAATTCAATCTCAGCTTCACCATCATTTGGTTCATTTACCTTTCCTTCTCTGATTTTTAGCAGCCAGTCAGCAAACTCACGTATTTCATCATGACTATTTGTTGTATAAGCAACATGTAGCCTCATGTTAACAGTCAACCTTAGTACCTTACAATGTTTCCATAAGTACGAAGAGTTTATTGCAGAATTGACAATATCAGCTCTTGTACCTTTAGGAATCACAGGCAATATCTGCCTGAAATCACCTCCGAGAACAACAACTTTTCCTCCGAATGGTTGTTCTACACTTTCTGGATTTGTACGACGTAATATATCCTTTAGTGTCCTGTCCAGTGCTTGAAAGCAATGTTTATGTACCATTGGTGCCTCATCCCATATAATAAGTTTTGCTCTTATAACCAAAGCACACAAA